CCCCAGCCCCACCTCACAGTTCTGGAGGTTAGACTACAATGAGCTTGGTGAGCTGAAGTCAAGCCACAGGCTGCGGCGGTGCTTTCTGCAGGCTCTGGGGCTCATGTCTTGTAGCTTTCCAGCTTGTCCAGGCCACCAACAGCCCTTGGCTCCTGCCCCCTTCCTCCCCCTCAGAGCCAGCAGTGGCTGACATCGCTCCTGTTCACACTGACACCTTTTCTTTTGACACACTTCTGACTGGTTCTTCCTCTGTCATTTCTAACGACTCTTGTAATGACATTGGGTCCACCTGGATTGTCCAGGTCATCTCCCCATCTCAGGATCCTTAATCACCTCTGCCAAGTCCCTTTTGCCACATGGGAGCCAGAGGCAGTACAGATTAGGATGTGGACATCCTTGGGGGCCGTGGCTCTGCCTGCCACAGGACAAGACAGAAGAGGTCAATTATCACGAAAAGGTGGCTCCCTGGGCCCCGTGAGAAGGGAGAGGAAGAGAGCAGGGAARAGAAATGTTGCTGGGCAGCGTGGGCCGGGCTTTGCTGCAGCGGGAGTCACTGTGTGTTCCAGGGCCAGAGCTCCTTTCGCTCACGTGGCCCGTCCATCAAGGATTGGGGGGGGCGCGGCTGGGGCTCAGCGGTAGAGCATTCGCCTAGCACGTGCGAGACCCTGGGTTCGATCCTCAGCACCACATATGAATAAATAAATAAATAAAGATTTTGTGTCCGACTACAACTAAAAAAATATTAAAAAAAAAAAAAAAAAGGATTGGCAGGGTCCCTCTGCCCTGGGAGTCAGCCAGGGAACTTGGCTGAGAGACGCTGGTTTACTCCACTCTCTGTGGCTATCCCTGAATGAACCCAGGGGYACTTAACCACCAAGMCACATCCCCAGCCCTTTTTATTTTTTTATTTTGGGACAGGATCTGGCTAAGCTACTTAGGGCCTAAGTTGCTGAAGCTGGCTTTCAACTTGTGATCCTCCTGCCTCAGCCTCCAGAGTCACTGGGATTATAGGCATGTGCCAGACTGGTCATTTGCAAAGAATAAAAGGCTYATGGTTCTGGAGGCCGAGAGGAACTGCACCTGTGGAGGACATCTTCCCCGCATCAGCAGGAGGCAGAGGACATGGTGTGGCAAGGCGGTGCTGGCCTGCTAGAGAGCTCACTTTCAGAGCAAAGCCACTTCCTCCGTAACCTGTCCTCCATTAATTAATGAATGGATTAATGTCCTCATAACCCAGTCATCCCCCGCAAAGGTCACGCCTCTAAATGCCATTAACATGAATTTGGGGATTAAATTTCCAATCAAGTCATCGCAGAGGCCCCTACGGTGCACCTCTCACCATCACTGTCCACCCCCAGCCTGGGCAGCGTCCACCCAGAGGGGCCTGGCACTCCCACTCTCAGTAGTCAGCCAAGCAAGCCACACGACCCAGCCTGAGTTCCACGGGGCGGGTAGGCCATGTCAGCACCAGAGCACCCAGGGAAGAGCTGAGCACCTTGGAGAGAAGAAATGGGGGAAGGCTGCTCATATCAGGGCCTTCTGATTCATTCATTCTAAGGATTGGACCCAGGGTTGCTCTACCACTGAGCTACGTCCCCAGCCCTTTGTATTTTGAGACAGTGTCTTGCTAAGTTGCTGAGGCTGGCCTCAAACTTGCCATCCTCCTGCCTCAGCCYCCTCACTGGGATTATAAATGTTTGCCACCACATCCAGCTAGTGCCTTYGTTTTAAAGGCACATAATATGTCTGCAATGAAATCATCATTTCCKGGTCAGCTTACTCAGAGTCTGCCAACTTCATCAGGGCAAGAAATGTACCTTTCATGCAGAGCCACATCCCCAGCACTGAGCTGGCAGCACTGTGGGTACTCAGCATTGTAGTACCACAGCACCAGGTGTGTGCTCCGTTCTCAGAGTGGGCCCCGCCCCACAGGGTAAGGCTCAGTCCTAAACAAGCCTCTCCCCCAGACATCCACCAGCCACCTGTACTTCTGACCCACTGACTACAAATCCAGGGCTCTCATGACCTCTTCAGGTTCAAGAAYTCTGGAAAGTGCTATACTCACAATCACAGTGTCATTAGAAAGAATACAGACCAGACTGGGAGCAGTGGCGCACCCCTGTAATCCCAGAGGCTGGGAGGCTGGAGCAGGAGGATCAAGAGTTCAAAGCCAGCCTCAGCAACAGTGAGGCGCTAAGCAACTCAATGAGACCCTGTCTTTAAATGAAATACAAAATAGGGCTGGGGATGTGGCTCAGTGGTTGAATGCCTCTGAGTACCAAAAAAAAAAAAAAAAAAATCATGAACGCTGAGGGCTGGCTGTACCAAACCCTCATCCCCCAGGGAATCAGAGCAAATATCAATCACCTTCCTGGTGTACTGTGCTCACCAATAACAAGAGCCTCAAAAAATTTTTTTTAAATATTTATTTTTTAGTTTTAGATGGGCACAATATCTTTAYTTTACGTTTATGTGGTGCTGGGGATCGAACCTAGTGCCTCATGCATGGTGGGCAAGCACTCTACCACTGAGCCACAACCCCAGCCCCCCAAAATCCAAAATTGTTACCCAGGCTTCCTCTGGTAGACAGGTCCCCAACACTTCCCAGAGTTTCGCAAGTCTAGCTCAAATCCTCAGCTCTCTAATCACATAATTGGTCTTTCTAGTATGACCAGCCTCCCTCAGAATAAACTCAGGCTTGTCAAGGTGGCAACCATGAATAACAGTGACACTCCTAATACCTGGGAAATTCCAAGGTTTTATCTCCCAGGAACCAGCCGCAAGAGCCAGACACAGTCTCTATAACTCAGCAATGGTGAAGAAGGGAAGAGGTCAGGATCCGGTTGTGGGATCATTCAGCCAATATCTGTGGAGCAGCTGCTAGGGCCAAACAGTTCTAGAAACTCAGAAAGGGTAAAACAGATATCCTACTGAGGACCTCCTGGAGCCCATGTCCCCTGGAAAAAAACAACCATGAAGATCAGAAAGCCACAGGGTGCGTTAGAAGGTGACAAGTATGAAGTAGGGGTGAGTAGGAACTCTGGGGGGCGGGGCTGTTTAAAAAAGGGGTGTGTGGAGAAGTGCGATTTTTAAAGGGTGTCTGCAAGCCCCTGCCTGTGAGTTAAGSAAACACCTGACTGAGATGGGGGTGCGCCACATAGGTGTCTGGGGCSAGGCCAAAACAGCCAGTGCAAAGGCCTAAGGCAGGAGTCTGCCCACCTCGCACACAGCAAGGAGGGCTGGTGTCGGAGAGGGACAGGAGGTGAGGTCAGAGGGGAGAGGGGACCAGATCCTGCGGTTCCATGTGGACCATTGTTCTGAATGAGGGGAGCTACAGGAGCTGACAGGTCTGCATGGACTTCTTTTGACTGCTTGGAGAGCCACTAGAGTCTCTGGGGCRGAAGCAGGGAGCCTAGTGAGTGGTGTCCCAGGCCGGAGGTGGTAGCAGGACCCAGATGACGGCAGTTGCAGTGGTGAGAATTGGTAGAACTCCGGCTAAATTTGAAGGTGAGCCAATCCATTTGTTGATGGGCCTGCCRTTATGCAGTGAAAGGCGCAGAGGCGTCCAAGTGGACTCCAAGGCKTTGGGCCTGAGAGCCTGGAGGGATGGAACTGCCATCTACCTTGGGGCGTTGAAGAAGATTTTTGGGTGAGGAAGGAGGTTTCAGGGTGGCCTGCGCCTGGCTTGGTGCGCCTTGGGCTCGGCGCTGTGCACGCCGTCTAGGCGAAGGCGCCACCTGTCCCCACYAGGGGGCGCCCTCTGCCTCGACCCGATTCCACCCCTGCTCGCGGTCTCCCCCCAAAATTTCCTTTCACTTTCGGTCTCTGGCTGTCACCCAGCTTAGCCCTTCCACACCCAGCTGGGGCAAGCCTAGTGCGTGAGGAGAATGGGACTCCAGGTCCCCGAGGGGCGGGGCTGGGGTCCCCGTTCCTGMGGCTGAGGGAGCATGGCATGGGGAACCCCGTTGCCGGGTCCCTGACCTGAGGAGGGTTTCGGGGACCGGACGTCGGGGTTCTTGGAAGGGGAGATGAGTTTTCAGTGTAACTGGGGCTCACGCAGGAAGCCTGGGGGAGTAGGAGGCGGAAACTTAGCCACATCAAGGGCAGGAGGGAGGGGCGGGGAGGCGAAGGGGCGGGCGAGAAAGGGGCTGAGGGGTGCGTGTCCGAGACCAGCTCTTCTGTCCCTTCCAAGACCCGGCCACAGGCATGAGGGGCTCTCGGCAGAGATGATAGTGCTGGCGCCAGCCTGGAGCCCAATTGTGCGTATACCTGGGAGGAGGGGGGCACCAGGTCAAGATGGGCGAGCTGAAGGGGAGGTGGGGAGGAGTTGGGGGAGGTGGACAGGTGTAGTAGGTGGCAGAGATGGGGAGATGGGCAGAGGTGTGAGGTCATGGGCAGAGGTGGGGAGATGGACAGAGGTGTGAGGTCATGGGCAGAGGTGGGGAGATGGACAGAGGCGGGGAAAGAGGTAGGGAGGGGAGAGATGTGGAGGGAGGTGGAGATGGAGAGAGATGAGACAGGATGGATGAAAGTGGCCGGTTTCTGTTTTGGACAAGAGACAGGAGTAGGCCATGTTGGGGAGAGATGGGGACACATCAGACAAGATGCAGGGGAGAGAGGGGACGGGAAGATCTGGAATGAGACCTGAGAAGGGGACAGACAAGAGAGGGTGGGGGAGGTGGAGCAGCGCTGACTGGCCCGTGGCCCCCGTAGTCCTCACTGCTGCTGCTGCTGCTGCTGAGCCCTGGCCTCCGGGGGACCCCCGACTGCTCCTTCAAGCACAGCCCCATCACATCCACTTTTGCAGCCACCATCCGCAAGCTGGTGAGCCTTCCTGGCTGGTCCCCTCCCCTGGGTCCCTGCTTGAGCTCAAAGTTCTGTGACTGGGTATCTGTCATCTCTCTCCCTTGGTCTCTGCCCCTTGCCCCAGGTCTCTGCCTTCCATCTCTGAGTCTCCATAGTTCTGTTTCTCCGGCTCTCAGCCAGGCCTAACCCTCTTTTCTCTGCAGTCTGACTACCTGCTTCACGATTACCCAGTCACTGTGGCCTCCAACCTGCAGGACGTGAGTCATAGGTGGGATGGGCCTGGGACAGAGGTGGGGACCAGATGCAAGATTCTCCACCCTTCAGGGGCCACACTAGTGAGCCAAGAGCCTCCCTCTCCCTCAGACCCAGGGGTCCAGGCCCAGCCTTCTCCCTCAGACTCAGGGGTCCAGGCCTAGCCTCCTCCTTCAGACCCAGAGGTCCAGGCCCAGCCTCCTCCCTCAGACCCAGGGAACCAGGACCAGCCTCCTCCCTCAGACCCAGGGGTCCAGCCCCAGCCTCCTCCCTCAGACCCAGGGAACCAGGACCAACCCTCCTCCCTCAGACCCAGGAGTCCAGGCCCAGCCTCCTCCCTCAGATTGAGGGTATGGCCTGTCCCTCCCCAGGAAGAACTCTGCAAGGCGCTGTGGCAGCTGGTACTGGCTCAGCGCTGGATGGAGCAACTCAAAACTGTGGCCGGGTCTCAGATGAAAATCCTCCTGGAGGACGTCAACACTGAAATACACTTTGTCACCTTATGTGCCTTCCAGGTCAGCCCTGAGCTCGGGGGATGAATGAGGGGAGGGTGCCTCCCAGGCACCGCAAGTGAAGCTCCGGAGCCTCACTGGGAGTTCTTTTGGCAGCAGAGCCCCAAGGGAGAATGTCCCTGAGGTCCCCAGGGACACTGCTGCTGGGTACCAGAAGATGGTGAAGGGCTCCACAATTGGGCCCAGGTTTCTTAGGCCCCGATGAGAGGGGCAGCTRAGGGGTCATGTCCCCTTGCCACCAGGGAGTCTGGGGGTCTCAACTCTGAGATTGAGGCCTCGTTGGGTTCATTGCTGGATGTTGCCGGCAGGGAAAGCCCTGGGCTGGCTGGCTGGAGATGCTGGGGCCATGTGGCCGTGACATCTCCCTCCCCTGCTCCCAGCCCCTCCCCAGCTGCCTTCGCTTCGTCCAGACCAACATCTCCCACCTCCTGCAGGACACCCTCGAGCAGCTGGTGGCTCTGAAGCCCTGGATCACCCGCCGGAATTTCTCTCGGTGCCTGGAGCTGCAGTGCCAGCCCGGTAACGGCTCCCAGTCCCTGAAGCCCACTGGTACCCTCCTGTCCCTCCTGCTCAGGGTGTCCCAGAGAGCCCTTGCTCCCAACTGGTACGACCTGGAGCAAGTTCATTCCCCTTTCTGTTTCAGTTTACCCATCTTTGAGAAGGAAGCTGTAGTCCCTGYCTGTGTGTCTAAGAAACCCTGACCACAGACACAGGCAGTCACTTATTTAAGTTTTAAATTCCTGGCTGCCATGTGGGGGGAAAAAAGATGGATTCATTTTTTCCTCAGGATTTTAATTTTTTTTTTTTTTTGGTACTGGGGATTGAACTCAGGGGCACTCGACCACTGAGCCACATCCCCAGCCCTATTTTGTGTTTTATTTAGAGACAGGGTCTCACTGAGTTGCTTAGTGCCTCGCCATTGCTGAGGCTGGCTTGGAACTTGTGATCCTCCTGCCACAACCTCCCAAACTGCTAGGATTACAGGCACGCACCATCATGTCCAACTCAATGTTTCTTATTTCTTAGCAAGTTAATAGTTGTTTTATTTATTTTAAAAAATCTTTATTTATTTTATTTATGTATTTATTATTTTTATGTGGTGCTGAGGATGGAACCCAGCGCCTCACATATGYTAGGCAAGCGCTCTGTCGCTGAGCTACAAACGCAGCCCCTGAGTTGTTTTATTTTTAAGCTTTTTTTCCTTTGGGAATAATCATTGAAAAACTGCAAAGACATTAAGGCGATCCCCTGCCCTCCATGCCCAGCCTCTCCAGTTTACATTTGCTTGTTAATTAACTAATAGAACAAAATTAAAACCAGGAAATTGACATTGGTCCAATCCACAGAGTTTATTCGGATTTTACCACTTATTTATACACACTTGAGTGTGTATATGAGTTTGTGAGCGCTGCCGTGACAAAGCCCCACAGAGTGACTTAAACCACAGATGACCCAGTGCTGGAAGCCAGAAGTCCAAGATCCACTGTCACCAGGGCCTGTGAGAGTAAATCTGCTCCAGGACTCTGGTAGATGGCTGGCTTCTTCATGGTCGTTATGCTCTCTGACATATATATATATATATATATATATATATATATATATTTTAAATATTTTTCATTGTAGATGGACACATACCTTAATTTTATTTATTTATTTTTATATGGTGCTGAGGAGCAAACCCAGTCCCTCACACATGCTAGGGAAGTGCTCTACCACTGAGCCACATCCCCAATGTAGGATTCTATTAAGATATCAATAATTTAATATTTTTATTTAATGCAATATCCTCCCGAACTCTATTCAGTGTTTAAAAAAAATTATTTAGGGGGCTGGGGATGTGACTCAGTGGTAGCGCGCTCGCCTGGCATGCGTGCGGCCTGGGTTCGATCCTCAGCACCACATACAAACAAAGATGTTGTGCCTGCCGAAAACTAAAAAATAAAGATTAAAAAAAAAAAATTATTTAGTGATTCAGGTGCTGCAATCCCAGCTTCTCCAGAAGCTAAGGCAGGAGGATCGCAGGTCAAGGCCAGCCTGGGTAAATCAGTGCAACTCTATCTGAATACATAAATAAATAAATAAATCGGGCCAGGCTGTAGGGCGGTGGCACAGCGCTTGCTGGCATGTGCATGGCCCTGGGCTTCATCTACACTGCTGCCAAAAATAACCCAAGTAACTCAAGTAACTGCAGCTCAGGGTTGACACACTAATCCGGGAAACAGTTGATAAACACCCAACACACAAATAAACAAGAAAGTAGCTCACTGTCATCAAATTAAAACAAGATGATAGAATCCTGAGCTGGGTGGTGGTTGGAAATTACTGGAAGTTGGGAACAAAGGAATAGCCAGTGCCAAAGACCCTGGGGCAGAAATCTGCCTGTGTTTAGGGGACATCAGGGAGGCCTGTGAGACTGAAGCTGAGTGGGTAGGAGGGAAGCTGAAGGTACAGAGAGGAAAAAAGGACCATATTTGCAGAGCCCCAGGGACACCGTAGGTTCATATATTGTATGTCACTGGGTGTGTTTATTTATTTACCTGCAGTATGGGGGATTGAACCCAGCACTTTGTGCATGCTGGGCAAGCGCTCTACCACTGAATTACACTCCAGCCTTTTTATTTTTTGAGACAAGGTCCCCCTGAGTTGCTGAAGCTGGCCTCCAACTTGTGTCCTCATGCCCCAGCCTCCTAAATCTCTAGGATTACAGGCCTATGCCACTGTGCCCAGCTCTGTTACTGTTTTATTCTCTAAATGTCCATTCATTCACATACTTAAATCATAGGTTCTGCTGGTAAATCACCCAGATAAGGTTCCTGCTCCCTGGGGGCAGGGGATGGGGGTGGGGTCTCAGGACTGGGAAATGACAGGTACATAACCACTGGAAACATTTGAGTTTAAGTATGAAATAAAATATAACCTAAGAGCCAGGTTCTCGCCTAAGCACGCTGTGTACATACCCTCATGATTTTGTGTCAGCCTTGTGAGGTAAGTGCAATGATTATCCGTCCTCATTTCTCTGGGGATGAGGCAGCTGCGGTCAGGGAGGGGAGGCTGGCGCCCACTGAGGTCCCACAGCTGGCCCCAGCAGGACTCCTGCTTTCCCTGACACAGCCCTTCTCCTCGTTCACCGGGTCCCCTCTCTCCTCAGACTCCTCCACCCTGCCGCCCCCAAGGAGTCCCCGGGCCCTGGGGGCAACAGCACTGCCAGCCCCTCAGTCCCACCTGCTGTTCCTGCTGCTGCTGCTGCCCGTGGCCCTCCCACCACTGGCCGCTCTCTTGTGCCTGCGCTGGAGAAGGGTGAATGGCCGCCCTGCCCCTCAGGTGAGGAACAGATGAGGGGGCGCAGAGAGATGGGAAGGGAAGGGGGGGCTGGAGGCTCTGCCTGCCCACCTGAGGCTGACCCTGTGGGGCCCACAGGTGCCCCCTGCCTCCAGTCCCCAGGGTGTGCTGCTTGTGGAGTGCTGACCCGGCGGGGGCCTCGTCTTGGTGAGTTCTTCTTCATGCTGTGGGGCCGGGAGGCCAGGCCAGGGACTCTGGACTTAGACTGGAGGGGTGGGGGTGTCCTGGGAGCCMCAGGGGGGTTGTGGGCGGAAGAGTGGCAGGGCCGGTGCTAGGTGCTGAAAGACTCCTAGGGGCCCAGGAGGACCTGTAGAAGAAGAGACAGGAGGCCAAGGAGGAGGCCAGCAAGGGTCCACAGAGAGAGGCCAAGGCCTGGGTTCAGGGCAGAACGATGGAGGGAGAGTGGGGGGGCAGAGAATCAGGGGAGGGGGTCAAGAAGCACAAGACTGGACTGAGCAGCTTGGCGGAGGAGCTGACACAGATGCCCTCAGGTCTGGCCCAGTGACGGGGTAGCCAGTGGGGAACCCGGGGGAAGCAAGCTCAGGAGGAGACAGTGATTCAGGGGGGACCTGAGGGAATGAGGACCCCGGGAGATACTGGGTGCTGGAGTTTGCATGCCAGGACCCAGTGTCCTTCTGGGGCAGGAATGGCGTGGCCCTGAGGGTGGGGGGACTGCCTTTGCTCAGTCCTTCAGGTGTTTCAGGAAGTTCAACTAGCCCCAGGGCAGCAGGGAACCAAGGGAAACCCCAGAGGGAGGAGAGAATCTGAAAACAGGTGTGGGGAGAGGAGGCAGGGGTAGCAGGAGGAAGGCCTAGAGGGACCTAGGGGGAATAGTACTCAGTAATCCCTCTGGCACAGGCCTGGGGCTCGACCTCTCTACAGATTAACTCACTTCATTGAGAAGTGCTATTATGAGCTCCACTTCATACAGGCTGAAACCAAGGCATAGAAAGGCAAGTTAATTTGCCAGAAGGCACACAGCTTGTGAGTGACAACCAAGATTTGATCCCAGGCTGCCTGCCCCCACCCCACCCCCAGCACCTTGAGCATGCTGGACAAATACTGCACCTTGGAGCTTCACCCCAGCCCTCAGCCTGCCCTAATCTAACACAAACCCTTCACTTGTCTACCTGGGTTCCCTTTCCTTACAAGAGTCTCTAAAAATAGTGCTTTCCATCATAGGACTGTCACAAGGCTAAGTGAAGTGACACAAGGAAAGGCCCTCAGAGAAACACTGCCAAGTGGAAATACAATGAAGCCACATGTGATTTTCAATTCCCTAGTCCTCATGTCAAAAAAAAAAAAAAAAAAAAAAAGGGAAAAGCAGCAGGTAACTTTAGACAGCACAGAGGCACACGCCTGTAATCCCAACAATTCAGGAGGCTGAAGGAGGATTGAACATTTGAGACCAACCTCAACCAATTAGCAAGACCCTGTCTCAAAAATAAAATAAAAGGGGCTGGGGTTGTGGCTCAGTGATACAGCACTTGCCTAGCATGTGTGAGGCACTGGGTTTGATCATCAGCACTGCATAAAAAAATAAATTAAATAAAGGTATTATGTCCATCTACAACTATAAATATTTTTTAAATAAAATAAAAGGGCTGGGGATCTAACTCAGAGGTAGCACACCCCTGGGTTGAATCCTCAGTACCACAAACACACACACACAMAAAAAAAGGTAACTTGAAATACTTTTTTTAAAATATATTTTTTTAGTTGTAGGTGGACACAATGCTTTTATTTTTACTTATTTTTATGTGGTGCTGAGGAGCGAACCCAGTGCCTCACCTGCACTAGGTGAGCACTCTACCACTAAGCCTTGAAATACTTTAAATATTATGTTTTACTTTTTTTTTTTTTTAAAGAGAGAGTGAGAGAGGGGGAGAGAGAAATTTTTTTAATATTTATTTTTTAGTTATCGGCGGACACAACATCTTTGTTTTGTATGTGGTGCTGAGGATCGAACCCAGGCTGCACGCATGCCAGGCGAGTGCGCTACCGCTTGAGCCACATCCCCAGCCCTTATGTTTTACTTTACCTGTTGTATCCAAACTATAGTCAATGAAATACTTTACTCTCTTTTTGCATATTTCAGAATCAGTGTGTATACATCATGTCTAAAGTCAGATGACATTTTTCTTTTGTGTATGCACAAAAGAATGTATGCAGGGCTGGAACCCCGGGCCTGCACACCCAAGGCAAGGGTCCACCACTGAGCTACAAAGTGACACATTTTTATCAGAACCGCTTGATCTGCATTTAACATTCAGGAGCTTTGCACTTGCAGAGCTTTGCACTTTGCACTTGTTTTCTTACTCGCTCAATAACTATATTATTAATTTCTTAAATTTAATAAAAATTGGATGAAATTTAAAAAAAAAAAAAAAGCCTGAGTTGCCCCATAGTCACATTTGAAGTGCTCAGTAGTCACACGTGGCTGGTGGCTAACCAGCTGGAGAGCAGGGATGGAGACCATTTCCACCATTGCACAAGAGTTTTTCTTAGACAGTGATGTCCTTAAGACAGATGCCTGCTGCTCACTGGGAACAGAGTTGTTTGGGGCAGTCTGTGTGCTGCCTGGAGCTAAGTATTTTCTTTCCCTCTCCTCTGTCCGTGGATCCTCAAATAACCCAAGACGACGACATATTTATCATCCCATTTTACACAGGACACTGAGGCCCAGCAAGAGGAGTCACCTATCAGAGGACACACGCCCAGTACACAGAGGAAGGCGGCTACAGACTGGTCCCTTCCTAGGCACCATTGCCCCTCAGGATGGAGGGTACGCCAGAACTCAGCCCTCTGTATAAAGCCCTTGTCCCCATGAACTTGTATATAAATCATTATTTTCTACCAGTTCTGGTTGGACTTGTCTGTGGTTGGGACGGGTTATGAATGGGAYGGCATAGGGCTTGAGTTTTGTTTAGTTAATGCAATGTTTCTGTTCAAGCCTCCTGGGGCCCAGAGCCTGTACTAGGCAATTCTAAGACCCAGATGTGAGGCAAAACCAGCCCAGGGCTCTGGCGCGCCGGGTCTTTGGAGGAGTCCCAGGGCACTCCAGAGCCGGGGCAAGATGACACACACTTGAATAAAGGGAGCACAGACAGTGTGGGATCCCCCAGGAGGCATCTGGCCCAGGCTGGGATAGATGGGGAGGCTCTCTGGAGGAAAGGACTCATGAGCCCAAAGGCACTGGGATCATGACAAGACAGATTCTGCAGTGAGCGTGGGCGGAAGAGCAGGGAGGGCATCCCAAGCAAGAGAGACGGCAGAAGCAAAGGCCAAGAGTCTGGAAAGCGGAAAGCTGCTTTGGGATCCGCAGCAGATAGGTGCAGCCCCGGCATCTGGAAGTCATTTCTTCATCATCCACCTCCACCTGTTTCACAAAGGCGGATGCCGGGGCCCAGATAAGTGCAGCAGTTCGTCCTGCTCACCACGAGGCCTACCAGGCATCAAATCCACATCCCCTAACCTAGACTGAGCGCCTAAGGGCTGCCCAGGCGGATCTGCTTGCCCCCTGCAGGCCATCACGTACCCTGCAACCCTCAGTCGCCTGATGGAGTAACGGCGACAAGTCGAGTGGAGTAGATCAGCAGCCCCTCAAAAAGATGGCTGCCGAGCCTCGACAGCCCCACCCGACAGAACYGCCTCACGACCCACGTGATCTCTAGCCCCTCACAGGCATGGCCGCCCGAGGTCCGATCGGATTGGTCAGTCAGAAGACCGCCCGCCTTCCCCCTAGGGCATCTCTGCGCACGCGTACAGCACTTTAGCCAATGAGAAGACAGAAACTTCTCCGCTGCGCCAGTGTAGCGTTGCTGCCTCCGCCCTTGCGGCAAGGGATAAGAAACCCTGCGCCAACACTTCCTTCTTTCCCAGGCGGCTGCCGAAGATGGCGGAGGGGCAGGTTCGGTGTCTGCGCGGCTGGGGTGGTGTGGGGTCGCGTGGGATCCAGTCGGGAACAGAGTTGGGCCCAGTATTCCCTTCTACATACGTTGTGAAGCTTCAGATCAGCAGTTAACAAAAAGGAGCTGGTTTTAGTGGGTAATCCGTAGGGATGTAGGAGAAACCGCGGCTGTTTTAAGGTCGAGGAGTGGCTAAAAGGCGGCAGTTTATCCCTTCTCAAGGCGAAGGGTGATGGTGAGAGTTTGTTTTACGGTTACGCCTTCCTTGTCTTAATCTTGGGTAGCGGGTGGGAGCCCTTGGCGTCAGGTCTTTGTTCAGACCCCGGCCATGGGGAACACGCGGCGGTCTGACTGATGTCGGGCGATGGGAACCTGAGGCTGGGCCAAAATGGAGGCCACTGCCGTTGTGCCCAAGGCCTAACTGCTTCAGCCTAATTCGGGATCAAGGTTTCCTACAGCTTGAGGCATTTCAATGCGAAATTCCCTTATGCAGTAGGTTGAGAAAACTCGCCTTCCGAGTGTTCAGGAATTGCTTTATTTTCCCCCTTGTTTTGGGGTTGCTGGAAGTAGAGGGCTTTTAACAGTTCCACAGCTATAGGACAAACTACCGTTCCCCAAATCACCCCCAGGCCCTCAGGGAACACCGTAGAAACTTAGCTCTGTGTCTTCTGTTGAACGTGTACCCAAGAGGGTGGTCCTTGGGGCTGGGGCTGTAGTCTAATGGCAGAGCGCTTACCTAGCACGTGTGGGGCATAATTAGAGGATGGGGGGGCTGGGTTGTGGCTCAGCGGTGGAGCACTAGCCTGGCATGTGCAGGGCCCTGGGTTCCATCCTCAGCACCACATAAAAATAAGTAAAATGGAGGTATTACATCCAACTACAACTAAAAAAAAAAAAGAGGATGGCCCTGGAGAGGATTTCCTTGTGGATTTCTTCCTGTAAGTCTGTGGTGTTTGGGCTCATTCCCAGGTAGGTAGAACTAGGCAAGTGGTAATAATCATCAAGTGTATGTGTACCTGTGAACAGCAGTGTGCACTGGTTTTGCCTGTTTATTGGCAATAGTCTTGAGGCAGATGCTATCCTCATTTTTCAGGTGAGTTGTAGATTTTGGGCCAAGGTCACATTGTAGGGAAGTCTAGCTTAGGTTTAAATTTGATGCCACCTGCACTGTTTTCCAATAACTACACAAGTATGTGTAACAACCATTATTTTATACTGTCACATTAGTACATTATGGTGTGCTTTATTAATGTTGATGGCTTCTATTCTCAATGAGGAAGCTGAGGACCCAGGGATGCAGATCCAGCAAGGGCTTTTGACAATACTTGCTAAGATCAGGGGTAGCATGCCTGTAGTACCCAGCTACTCAGGAGGACTGCTTGAACCCAGGGTTTTGAAGTCAGCCTGGGCAACATAATGAGAAACTGTCTCAGACTAAAAAAAAAAGTCCATGGTAAAAATTGCATTTTACATCTTAAGGAGAGTTGGGTTATTAGAAGCCTGCAGTTTGACAAATTTTGTATCTGTATGAGCCATGGACAGGAGTTGCCAGGTTTGGGTCAATCCAAAATGCAGTCTCAGGAAGGRAGAAGGGAGTTCCTTGGTGTCTTGTCCTGCCTGGTGATGCTGGATCAGCATTTTGCTTCCCCTTGGTCTACTAACCCAAGTCTTGGGTCTGAGCTGGAAAAGGCCCCCAGAGGCAAGATGAACTGGTRAAGAGTGGTTTCTTGAGGTGGGAGAGTAAAGCTGTCAGTTTTCTCATCCCTTCCTTGTCTCCACAGGTCCTAGTGCTGGATGGTCGAGGCCATCTCCTGGGCCGCCTGGCGGCCATTGTGGCCAAACAGGTACTGCTGGGTAAGTCTGCTCACAGTCCTCCCTGCCTTTAGTTCCACTTGCAGGTCAGTGATGAGCAACAATCACCATCTTTCGTTTGAGTCTCACGACTGTGAGATCAACCCCATGCACCGCTCTGAGACTTGCCAGCCAAACTCTTCCCTCCCTGGCTCAGATTTTAGTATGAACCCAGCTCTGCCAATTGTGTGCAAGGGAGGATCCCTCTCCCTGTATTCTGCCCTTCATAACCCTTCCCCTTCTTGAATGCCTCACCTTCTCTTTAGGCCGCAAGGTGGTGGTTGTGCGCTGTGAGGGCATCAACATTTCTGGAAATTTCTACAGAAACAAGTGTAAGTTAAACCTGTGATCATAGAGGGGTTAAGGTTTTTTGCTAGAACTTTAGGGTTTGGTTGGGAACTGTTAGGTCTTGTCATRGACAAGGCAAGCCTCATATTCTCCCCTTCCCTCAGTGAAGTACCTGGCCTTCCTCCGCAAGAGGATGAATACCAACCCATCCCGAGGCCCGTACCACTTCCGGGCCCCCAGTCGCATCTTCTGGAGGACTGTACGAGGTGAGCTGGGCCTGGGGCTGTGGGTGGTGGCAGCAGGCAGCCAGTGATGAGGACGTCTCCCACTCGTGTTCGAGTTCCCCAACCATGAGATGACTCCACATGCACTACCATCTGAGGCCGCCCCATGCCTGCCCTGGTGGGGAAGGGTGGACATCCTCTTAAGCTCCACTGAGGTCTGGCATCCTTCTGCCATAGGCATGCTGCCCCACAAGACCAAACGAGGCCAGGCTGCCCTGGACCGCCTCAAGGTGTTTGATGGGATTCCACCACCCTACGACAAGGTGAGCCACACCAAGCCCCCAGCACAGTGTCGTGCATCCAGCGTCCATGATGTTACACAATTACCTACATTGTTTGAGCCTCATGAAAACATAACTGGCTGAGACGCCTACTGCAGCCAGCCTCCTTTGCCTAGTGTCTCTGCACTAGGTCTTTAAGCCCCTCTCCTCCAACAGAAAAAGCGGATGGTGGTTCCTGCTGCCCTGAAGGTTGTGCGACTGAAGCCAACAAGAAAGGTGAGTTCCAGGTTGGACAGCTCTAACTTGGTTTTATGGTCTGCTGGGGTGAACCTGAGGTTCAAGACTGGCAAATGATGTTTTTTCTCACGATGGTCTGCGGATGCCACTGTGTGTGTGTGCAGTGCCGAGAACGCTAAAGGCTTAGCTGATGCCAGGAGCAGGGAGCCTTTACACAGGATGTGTGTGTCGCCTTTTCATGTGGGCTTGCTGGGGACTGAATTATTATTCCCTTCCCATGATCCTCTAGGACAGTTACTCCCCTTGTGACCACCATGGCCTCAGTCCAGGCTCTTTAGGTTAAGAGGACTCCCGTGTCTCCATGTCCTTAAAAACTTTCTCTGCCCCTCTAGTTTGCCTACCTGGGGCGCCTGGCTCATGAGGTCGGCTGGAAGTACCAGGCAGTGACAGCCACCCTGGAGGAGAAGAGAAAGGAGAAAGCCAAGATCCATTACCGGAAGAAAAAACAGCTTATGGTGAGGGCAGAGGTTGCCCTGGAGGGGACTGTGCTTGTGGGTGGACCAGGCTGGCAAGGTCTTGCCCTAGAAGGTCTGCCTTCATCCCAGCCTGAGGTGGAGAACCAGCTCCTAAAGCCATTGTGTGTTTTTACCCCACAGAGGCTACGAAAACAGGCAGAAAAGAATGTGGAGAAGAAAATTAACAAGTTCACAGAGGTCCTCAGGATCAATGGACTCCTGGTCTGAGCCCAATAAAGACTGTTTATGCCTCATGTGTGGCCTGGCCTGCCCTTCCTCCATCGCCACCCTGGGATATGGGGGGCCCAGTACAGCTCTCTGGGTTCCACAGGCAGCTTGGGACCTGGAAAGCTGACACAGAAGGGCCTAGCCTTGGTCTCTGCTTCTGTTTCAGAAGGTTTCTTAAGAGTTGTACGGTCAGAATTTATGACCTGCTTATTCATGAATTAAAAAAAAAAAAACGATAGAACTACCAGTTACTTGCAGTGTTTAAAAAAAAAATGAGCTGGAACACTAAGGGGGGGTCTCCTTGGCTACAGGGGCACCCACCTGTCTTAACCATGTGGCCATCCTATACTCTGTAGCTGACAGAATGGGAGAGTACCTGCTGAAGTGGGCCAAGTTCTAGAGGTGCAAAGACTGGAAAATGCACTGCCCCTTTCCTTAACTCTGTTTTGTGATAAAAAGCAAATAAATTATTTTTGAAGAAACGTGGCGTCTTTGCATATGTCCACTATGGAGGTGGGCCCTCAGCAAAAACAGGCTTCACGCAGGCCACACGTTACACAAAAACCTAGTTTCCTCCTGGGACTGCCTGCAGTGTCCTAATAACCTGAAGCTGTCCCTTTCCAGCTCAACTGCAAAGTATGTGATTGCCACAATGCCCCCTACTGCCTGACTCCAGGGATCAAAGCACCACAGCAAGTGGACTGGTTATTAATATTAAATAAGCACGTTAGGCCTCATCTGACACCTAAAAATAGATGTGCTGGCTCTGCCAGTGTGAACCCCTGGGCATTGGGCCTGCCTGGGTAGCCCTTTACCYATTTCAACAGTCACCCACAACTGTGTGATGTTGGGAACTGAACCAAGGACCCCACCATGCCGGGCGAGCGCTTTGCCACCGGACAGCCTAGTGAACTACAACTCAAATATTATGGTTCTCAGTCGCAAAAGTCACATTTCAAATGCTACTGCCCACCGAGTTAGAAGCGCAGGTATGCCATAGTTCCACAATCGCGGTAAGTTCTATTAGCGCCATCTTACACGGAAAAAACAAAAGAATGGCTCCAAATCACGGTCTGGAAGTGAAACCCACACTGCCGGGTAACTGTTTCATTCAACTTCTAAAAGATCCGGCAGCTTCCGCCCCTCGCAAAGATGGCGCCGCCGCAATGCTTCTAGGAACGGCAGGGCGCCTGTCCCATAAAAAGATGGTCGCATCACCTCTGGTTTGAAGCCTAACCGAACACAGCCACGCGGTCCCCAAATCCCACGTGAACCTACACCTCAGGGAAATGACGGCTTCCCCACGACTCTCGCGATAACACAAAACAAGCCAATCTGAACTAACGCTCCCGGAGCAATGAGAGCCTGAAACTCTCGCGAGATTGGATGCACASTTCCCGCCCCTGAGTTTTTCACCATCATGGCCGCGCACTTGCAGTTTCCGATGCACATGCTTGGTTAAAGCCGCCTGTCAATCAGAGTCGCTCTCGAGGCACCGCCCAAAGCCGTGTGACCCTGCCCCTTTCGTCACTTCCTCTACAGCCCCTGCGCAATCAATAAGGAAACCCGGACGCTTCCGTCGCTCTCTTTTTTTTTCAGGCAGCCGGGAAGATGGCGGACATTCAGGTGTGTTCTCTGTGCTGGCGCCGAGTCTGCGGGGCTCGCTCTCAGCCAAGGGGGCGGGTCTGGGAGGCCAGGACCTTGCGCCCCCGTTTGGGGTTATTCAGGGCGTCCCCGATTTCCTAGGGATGAATTAAGGTGGGCCATATGCGTTTGCTTTAAGCTTAGATATCAGCTTCCTAAATCTTGCTGGCTCTTCACATTAATACAGATTCAAGCGTTTTAGGAGCCATTATCCAAAAGCCCAAGGGTTAAGAAATGTTTGCGGCCTGAGTCCTAAGGGCGAGTTCGGGGAGCCGTCGTTTGGTAGCTAAATTTGAACCCTCTTCGATTAAATAAAGAGTGAATGCAGCGTGAATGGGTTTGTGTCTTTAAAAATAATTATTGCTGAAAGGTGCCCAGGGTGTTAGAGGTATGTTCCTGGAGATTAAATTCAGCTGGCAGTGGGAGGTGTTCTAGAGCAGGCAAGCTGAAGTTACCTTGGGCTTAGAGACGTCTTTGAATTGTAGGTACATGGTGGTTGGCTGTGTTCTAGAGGATATTTCAGGGACACTGGTCCTCYGGGGCTGGCCTGTGGGGAGTAAATACTGTAGAGGATGGATCTGGATGTTTGGGGGAAGGTCTTCAGGCCAGAAATCCATCTGCTCCAAGCTTGCAAAGTCACCAGCTTCCTTTTTATCCCCGTAGACAGAGCGTGCCTACCAAAAGCAGCCGACCATCTTTCAAAACAAGAAGAGGGTCCTGCTGGGAGAAACTGGGAAGGAGAAACTCCCTCGATACTACAAAAATATTGGTCTGGGCTTCAAGACACCAAAAGAGGTGGGGGGAACTCCCAGAAGAAAATGAGACTCCCTTGCCCCTGCCCACGTGCCTGTCAGGGTTGCCCTGCCTACATCTCAGTGGCTATCCTCTGGGCTGCTGGGAAATGTAGTTTGGGTCCCTGAGGTCACATKCTCAGTCCTTTTTTGTCCAAAGCTCACTCCTCTCTTTTCCTTATCTCTTCAGGCCATTGAGGGCACCTACATTGACAAGAAGTGCCCTTTCACTGGTAACGTTTCCATCCGAGGGCGGATCCTGTCTGGTGAGTGGAGAATTCTGGGGGTCTGAACTGTTGGAATGAAGGGGCTTGGGACCTAGATTCCTGGTTTCAGGGCACTGGCAAATGATGTCTGTTTTCACGATGGTCTTCAGATACCCACCACGGGTACTGCTGAAAAGCCACTTGGCAAAGCTGATGCCAGAAGCAGGGGACCCACCCTATTCAGCAATTTCTGATTCCCAGCAGGCCCTGAGCAACCCTTGATTCCCTTTCCTATGAGGCCTGACTGATCTATGATTTATCTGTTTCCTCTGCCCAGGTGTGGTGACCAAGATGAAGATGCAAAGGACCATTGTGATCCGCCGGGACTATCTCCACTACATTCGCAAATACAATCGCTTTGAGAAGCGCCACAAGAATATGTCTGTGCACCTGTCCCCCTGCTTCAGGTGAGCATGGTGGTCCCTTAGGGAGCAGCTAGCCAGGGTTACATTTATGTTAGAATGAAGTGCTTTTTCTTTCCTTTTTTCATGGGTTGGTACCAGGGATTGAACTCAGGGGCATCTCACCACTGAGCACATCCCCAGCCCTATTTTGTATTTTATTTAGAGACAGGGTCTCGCTGAGTTGCTTAGCGCCTCGCTTTTGCCGAGGCTACCTTTGAATTCAATATTCTTCTGCCTCAGCTTCCAGAGCCCCTGGGATTACAGGTGTGCGCCACCTTACCTGGCTTGAARTACTTTTTCACAGAACATGTTTTGTGTATGTCTTACCCGTGTTAGAGACTTAGTGTTCAGAGATCAAYAAGGGTAAGGTCCTCCCCCAGAGAGCACCTTGGAGCAGGAAGGACATCAGACCAGTGGAGAGAGATGATGGGCAGTGGGATAGTAGCTCATGAGGGAGGGTCTTCTGGAAGAATGACTTGGAAACAAAGCGGAGGTTACTCGACAGGAGGGCTGGTCGCCACTGACTCTGGCAGTGTTGGACTTGGCTCAGGTGCCCATAGGATCCTCCATCCACTGGGGGATGCCACTGGCCAATCCTGGGAGCCTCCCTTTGTTCTTTGTGAAATGGAGATTTCAGTTGATGGAGACCACAGGCATGCTGCCCCACAAGACCAAGCGAGGCCAGGCTGTCGTGGGTGTCTAGGGGGCAGGTTGAATGGCAGCCAGAGCTGGAATGGGGTTACATTAACCAGCGTGGAACACCTTCAACCTGKTGATGGGGACAGAGGGTTTCCTTTAGAGGTCTGCTGAGGTAACCTCTTCTGAGGACATGCTCCTGCCTGTTCCCACAGGGACGTCCAGATWGGTGACATCGTCACAGTTGGAGAGTGCAGGCCTTTGAGCAAGACGGTGCGCTTCAATGTACTCAAGGTCACCAAGGCAGCTGGCACCAAGAAGCAGTTCCAGAAGTTCTAAGACTGGATGCCTGCCCACCCTCCAAAGCAAAATAAACTTATTTTGTAATTCACAGTCCAGGCTTGGGATTTCTGTGCCCTCAGCAGAGGGAAGGATTGCCTTTGGGGCTGAGGATGGGCACACCTCTTRTCTGCTGCCCTTATCTCTGGATGTGTACAGTGCCACCTAAATTGAGATGCTGCCYTTCCTGTTTGGGTCCCTGTCACCTCTTGGTGTTAGGTACCTGATTTCCCATCCCCCAGTCTCTGGAGAGGAAGTAAGGGAGGGTGGGGAATCTGGCCTGGACTCATTGGCTTTGGTGAGGAGGCAAAGGGGAAGCAGCCGCCCTCTGTTGTGGAGGCTTAGTGGGCCCACTGTCTGAACTGTGAGGGTCTGGCCTTCCACTTGGGCCTCCAGTCTTCCTGACAGCCAACAAGGGGCCCTGTGAGCCCTCCCCCCAACCACACACAAGCCCAGGTGAACACCAGGCCCACTTAGAGATGAGGAAACAAACCTGGGAGAGGCCGAGTCCTGTGCTTGAGTCCCAGTGAGTAGGCTTCAGGGTACATGGTCTGATGGTGGCCAAGTAGGGCTGACCTGGAGCCCAGCTTTACAATGCTAGGGTTCAGGTGCAGGAATGGGGCTCTGGAAGCCCTAGTAAAGAGACCAACTGGGAAGAGCTGCAGAGTCAGGAGAGGAGTAGAGACTGCGGAGAATGGTAATGGGGAAAGACAAGGCCACACAGCCACCTTTGAGAAGGGTGTCCTTGATCCTGTGCTGCAGAGGCTCAGTGGGACAGGCTGCAAGGACAGAAGGGGACTACAGAAGCAGCTGGAGAGACAGACCTTGAGCATCCCACAGGTGCACAGGCAGCAGGTCTGAAAGACAGCTGCTTGGAAAYACTAAAGGACAGCGCAGAAAGCAAAGATGGGGCCAGGAAGAGACCTGCCACYGCCGGAGGGAGATGCTGAGTTGCCCTCTGCCTTCATCCACTGGGCCTGCTGGTGCCGGGGTCCACAGGTCCCTAACCCCCAGACCTGTACCAGGGTCTAAGGCGCAGCACTGGTACAAGGGTTGGGAGACAGGGCCTTGAGGAAAGGAGTTGCTGCTGCCTCCAGGGACGCCGCACCCAATGGGCCCAGCTTCTGCCTTTTACMCAAGCCGGGGAGGGCGGGGGTTCCTGCCAGAGGAAGTGGGCTCCCATCAGAGGGCAGGAAGGGGTAGGGACAGGTCAGGGGGGCACCGCCCGAGCTGCAGAGCCTGCCCTGCTGTGCTAGGTGGGGAGAGACCCAGCAGGAGAGACAGGGGCACAGACCTACAGAGGGGTCCTCAGACCCAGAGGGAGAAGACGGCCGATGCAGCCAGAGGGGGGCAGGGGTGGGGA